CCTTAGAGACTAACAAATTTATTAGAGCATAAAATTTGTTAGTCTCTAAGGTGCCACAAGTCCTCCTGTTCTTCTTTTTACAGTAAAGTTTGTATCTACAGCTCAGATTTAGATTAAGTTTGAAAACTCTTGTTTGTTTCTAATGTTAACTAATTAGAATACCCCTAAAGGGTCAGTGTTGGGCTCCAATTATCTTCTGATAGTATATGAATGACTAGTATTTAAGTAAAAGCATCCCTCCCCAGTGGGCGGGTTGCTTTGTTTGGAAAGACAACTGAAAGACACACACAGCATTGCTAAGATTTGTTCAGCTAGGCAGCTGTCTAAAACTGATTGTGAATGGTGTGGTCAAAGGTGGAAGGTGACTACTGACAATGGAGTGTGGCCTACAGGATAGGGCACCTAGAGCAGGAGTCAGGAGACATGAGTGTTATCCTTGGTTCTGCATCCGGCACCTCACATCTCTGGGTGCCACTTTCTCCAACTCTAAAATGACAATAATGGTGCTTACCTACCTTTGTAATTGAGATTTGTAAGCATTATTATTGCAGTCCTGTATCAAACTATTGGAGGTCAGTCAGAAGGCCCAGCTGAGTAACTAATGGCATGTTTTTCAACTTGATTTAGTTAAACTGATGCAAACCCTGCGTGGACACTCTTCCATCAATTTAAACCTGGCTTATATTGAGTTAACATAAGATAGGGTTGTCAACTTTCCAATCTCACAAAACTGAACACCTTAGCCCTGCCCCTTCCCTGAGGCTCCACCCCTGCTCACTACATTCCCCCTCCCTCGGTGGCTTATTCTCCCCCACCCTCACTCACTTTCACTGGGCTGTGGGAGGGGGTGAGGGCTCTGGCTGGGGGTGTGGGCTCTGGTGTGGGGCTGGGGATGAGGGGTTTGGGGTGTAGAAGGGGACTCCAGGCTGGGATGTGGGGCTGAGGTATTCGGAGTGCGAGAGGGGTCTGTGGGTTGAGGCAGGGGGTTGGGGTGCAGGAGGGGGTGAGGGCTATGGGGTGTGGGTTCTGGAGTGGGGCCAGCAATGAGGGGTTTGGAGTGCATGAGGTTGCTCTGTGTTTGGGGGGGGCTCAGGGCTGGGGCAGGGACTTGCGGCTTGTGGTTGGGGCATGGGCTTACCTCGGGCAGCTCCCGGTCAGCAGCATAGTGGGGGGAGGGGAGAGAAGGGGGCCCTAAGACAGGCTGCCTGTCTCTCCTGGCCCTGTGTTGTGCATGCCCTGGAAGCAGCCAGCAGGTCTGGTCCTAGGCGAGGGGGCCAGGAGGCTCCATGCGCCATTCTTGCCCACAGGCACTGCCCACCCCCAGTTCCCATTGGCTGGTTCCCGGCCAATGGGATTGCAGAGCTGATGCTCCAGGCGGGGGCAGTGCACAGAGCCCCATGGCCCCCCTGCCTAGAAGCCGGACCTGCTGGCTGCTTCCGGGCGCAGCACAGTGCCAGCGAGGGCAGGTAGGGACTAGCCTGCCTTCGCGCCACAGTGCCGCTATCCGGACTTTTAACAGCATGGTCGAAGGTGCTGACCAGAGCTGCCAGGGACCCTTTTTGACCAGATGTTCTGGTCGAAAACCAGACACCTGGTCACTAAGCAGATCCTTTAAGGACTGAAGCAAAATCAACACAAACCATCTTTAAATCTATTTAAGTATGCTATCACAGGAGTTTGCATTGGTTAAACTAAGTTGATTGAAAAGCACATCTTTGGTTAAACTGGGGCAATTTATAATATAGACGAGATCTATATAAAAACAAGCACTAATAGGTTGTTGTTTATATCCTTACAGTTTTACACTAGTATTTTCAGTTGCCAATGCAGTATCTCCAGAAAGAAACTGATGAAAGACCTAAGTTTCAAGGCTGACTCAGATGTGTGTTAAAATCTTAGTCATTTAAAAACATTTTGAAAAGCTGAAAGTTCTTTAACAGGAGAGTTACTTATGCAAAGTTCTTCTCACTGAGGAGTCTCAAATACTTTTGGCAGGCAGCTGTGAAAAAACTCAGGGAAGTCTCATGCCTACAGCTTTTTTTCTTACAAACACTAGAGAAATTAAATCATGTATTTAAAAAATAGAGTTTTATTTAAAACACCAACACACTGATGAAAAAGCAATGGATTTGGTCAGAACTGCACAGAGCCATTCAGATTTAATGTTTGTCCTTGTCAGTGTAAAGCACGTCAGCCTCTAGAGCCCCTGGCTCATTGAATGCCTTCTCTCATGGGCTAAGGAAGAGGACAGTTCGACACTTTCAACTGAGGTTTTTAAAGCTTTAGATTTAAGGAGACCTTCAGCATAGAACACTGACATTGCTTTTATTTGTGTTTGAAATGGGCTCTATTCCCCTACCTGCTCAAGCTATATGAATATTAAGCCTAGATCTGTGTTGTACTGTTTGGTGTTCTGATGTAGTATAGGGGCTAGAATGCTTTTATTATATAAGCACTACTGGGGTCTCTGTTTGGGTAAAATCTATTGACTTAAATGGGAATTTTGCCTCAGTGAGAACTCAGTTTAGATTATGTCTTAAATAAGCAAAACTTTAATTTTCAAGTACATACAATCTAATGCAGAACAACCAACCCGTACCAAAAATGCAACAGCAATTCATTTGAATGAGCATGTGAAATGCTGTGATCCCACATTTTATCCATCTCATGAGTTTTGCTTGCAGCCTATAAATGTTTTATTGATGAATATCTGTTCTAGAGCGCCTGCTTGTGCATTGGTTTTCTTGTTCTTCTTGAGGTAATATAATCTGAATTTAAAAAAAGAAATAGGATAGTCTGGAATTTGCATTTGGTTTGCAATTCCAAACAAATTCCAGCTTAAAAGGTTCAGATAAGCAGCTAAACATTGAGAAATTTCTCTACACTTTGTCAAAAACGTCTGAGTTTGCAAGTTAGGCTGCATATCTCAAGAAAACAGGCTTCTCCTAAGATTCCTGGTAACTCCTGCTTACAATCAAACAGGACATAGAATCATAGAACTGGAAGGGACCTCGAGAGCTCAACTAGTCCAGTCCCCTGCACTCATGGAAGGACTAAGTATTCTAGACCGATGATGGAGATTTCACAACCTCCCTAGGCAATTTATTCCAGTGCTTAACCACCCTAAACCTCCCTTGCTGTAATTTAAGCCCATTGTCCTATCCTCACAGGTTAAGAACAACAATTTTTCTCCCTCCTCCTTATAATAACCTTTCATGTACTTGAAAACTGTTATGTCCCCTCTCAGTCTTCTCTTTTCCAGACTAAACAAACCCAATTTTTTCAATCTTCCCTCATTGGACATGTTTTCTAGACCTTTAATCATTTTTGTTGCTCTTCTCTGGACTTTTCCCAATTTGTTCACATTTTTCCTGACATACTCACATACTGAGAGTAAAGTCTTCCAGGTGGTATTTCAGCATTTCCATTCCAGTCCCAGCAGATACAAAGATATACAGAGGTACCGAAAAATGGAGAGTGAGGCTCCAATCCTACACGTTACAGGTGCGGGTAGACTCCTGCACCCACATGGAGGCCAGCAGAAGTCAATGGGATTCCACATGGGTGCAGCAGATCTATCACCTGAATGATTCTGCTTGCAGGAACAGAGCCTAGTAAATAGGCGTCTGACCTTTTTCAAATTGCAGGCTATGTCTACACTTACCATTTAAAGCGCAAAAAGTCTCTTTTTTTGCGCTAAAACCGAGGGAGCGTCTACACTTGTTAACCTTCACGAGAGGCATATAGCTTTTACCGCTGTTGTGAAAGTGAAGACAGGTTCTACCAGCGTAAACACCTTTTGGCCTCCGAAGGATATCCCAGAGTTCCAAAGGTGACCACTCTGGCCAGCATCTCCGCTGCTCTGACACCAAGTAAGTCCCAGGAAGTTTGAAACTCCCTTTCCCTTTGCTTGTAGATATGGCAGGGATTGGAAAAGCAGCCAGACAGCAGGGGGGTTTAAAAAAAATGCCATGACAGAAACAAGGAAGTAATGGTGCTGTTGGGACATGAAGCAGGGCAGCATGGGGCACTGAGCAGGCACACAGACTGCCTTCTGCTTACTCCCCCTCCCCTTCCCACAAGACCTATTGAGAGAGCTGCACTGTGGGGTAGCTGCCCTACAGCGCTGCTCTCATCGGCGATGGAAGTGCTGGTAGTGTAAACACACTCTTACGCCTGAGGAATTGAGTGAGTATACAAACCAGAGCTTTACTTTCACCAGTTCCCTATCACTGGTGAAACCTACAGCACTAAAACTCTGTAAATATAGACATACCCTCAGAAAAGGTTTGGTTTGTGTTCTATTGTTCCTCTCCCAACAAGAACTCAGTGCCAGCAGTTATCCCACAGCCATTAGGCACCCAAACATCTGAGGCACTGGAAACTTCTATTGGCCAAGCCAGACAGCTCTGCCTCATTCCATTAGCACTGACATACAGGCATTTCCTCATTGTACTAGCGTACAATATTCAGCCACTAGTCTCCAAGAAGACAGTAAGGATTACTTCTTTTTAATATGTGGTTTAAAATGACTTCTAACATAAATTAGTGGTGGGATGGTCTAGTTT